TTCCCACCTGCTGTCCTTAATATAAACCATCTCCACTGGAAAGCCTCTTCTACCTGGGTGGAGCCATCCTCATCCTGCAGGAGCTTCTCAGAGGGTGAGGAAGTGCCTCTTATGCACCAAAACCAACACTTATCACAATCCAAAATTTATTCATCATTTTTAACAATCGACTCCAAATTTTACTGGACTAATTTCTAAGTCTGTTTATGTTTTTATGGTGCAAAAACCACGTAATTCTCATTAGGAGTCTACTCAGCAGCAAAAAAAAAAAAAAAAAAAAAAAAAAAAAAAAAAAGAAAAAAAGAAAGAAAAGAGCAATCCATTCCTACAGAAACCTTGGAGCACCCGGAATTTGCATTGCTGAGGAGAAAAGTAATGATTTAATTGTGAAATGCTCAGAGTAATAATTACTGGAAATAAGCTGTTTCTAAAGCTCCTGAGTATGACTTTAGGGAAGTGGCAGGGACACACGAAATTTTACATAGAGTGTAATATTCCTATAAAAATGGAAATACATGCACAAAGGAACAGTCTCCCTGTCATCCTCCAGGCTAATGAAAAAGAGGAGGAAGAAGGAATATATCCATGGAGAGGTAGTAGAGATGATGAAATTATTTATTAAAAAAAATTAAAACTCTGCTGTGTTCATTCTCCAGTGACCCAAATCTTTTGATTAGTGCCTCTGGATCCCTGGCAGTGTCCAAATCCAGGCTGGATAGGGCTTGGAGCAACCTGGGACAGTGGAAGGAGTCCCTGCCATGGCAGAGGTGGGATGGGATGAGCTTTAAGGTCCCTTCCAACCCAAAGCAGTCTGGGATTTTATCATTTTGTGAATGACTGTCTACAGGTTCAGAAGGAAAGCTGAAATCCAGAGCATGGACTCAGCCCGCTTTGGAGTGTGGTTCCACTGAATGGGTCCCCCATGGAATCTGGGAACGTCCACAGCTGGAAGGACCCACAGGATCACGGATCCAGCTCCTGGCCCTGCACAGACACCCCAAAACCCCACCCTGGGCATCCCTGGCAGTGCTGTCCAAAAGCTCCTGGAGCTTTTGGGAATGTGCCCATTCCCTGGGGAGCCTGGGCAGTGCCAGCACCCTCTGGGGGAAGAGCCTTTCCCTGACACCCACCCTGAACATGCCCGGACACAGCTCCAGGCATTCCCTCAGTGCTGTCCCTGTCACAGGGAGCTGTCACTGCTGCACGGAGTGCCCTGTCCCGTGTCACACCAGGCCCACACGGCAGAGTTCAGTTCAGTTTTATTTTCCACTGTAACGGATTTCGAATGATACATCATGCAGTCTGCCAGTGTATCCATCCATCTCCGACAGAACTTCAGCACGAAGATAAAAGACTTCTCTCCACGGGCTGGGGGGAGGAGGAGGGTTCAGGTCTGCTATCAAGAGTTTAATACAGTTCAGCATCGTTTGATGCAATGGCAAAAAAAAAAAAAAAAAATTTCCCCTTGTTACCAGCAAAACGTGTCCACCATTTATTTCTTTTTTTTTGTTTGTTTTTCTCTATTTTTTTTTCTTCTCCTAAATTGAACACTACTGTAAAGATACATAGAGCCCAGAGAATACACATCTGCAGTACACGGTACACACTTTACAAACTAGACAGGGCTAAATCCACGCAGTGCCTCAGCCCGCGGCTCCCCGCGGCAGCGGGGCGGCGCTGCCATCCCGCACAGCGGATGGCTCCCGCCGCCACACTGAGGACAACACTCACAGCAAGGGGAGATTCAGATTATCCTGCCCACTTGTTTCCCTCTTTTTTCCCCCCCGTGGAGGAGTACTTCAGTCATGGTTATGTGAGGTATTTCTCCTCCAGCGAGGGGAATCTGATGAGCCCTTTTCTTTGGGACCTTTGTCGCCCGTTGTTGAAACAGTTCTTCGAGTAAAACCGTGCTCAAATTAGAATTCTTGATTTCGTTTATTTCCAAGCCTTAGGGCAGGGTTAGATAGGATATTGGGAAGGAATCCTGTGAGCGTGGGCAGGCCCTGGCACAGGTGCCCAGAGAAGTTGTGGCTGCCCCTGGATCCCTGGAAGGGTCCAAGACCAGGCTTGGAACAGCCTGGGACAGTGGAAGGTGTCCCTGCCATGGCAGGGGGTGCGATCAGCTGATCTTTAAAACCCCTTCCAACCAAACTGTTCCATGATCCTATAATTTATAAAGATTTCAGACAAATGTGCATCTTAGTTCGTTAGGCTTTATAAGGTGAAATTGAAAAGCTACTCAAGGCTCCGTGGGCGGGAATTGTTGTAGCAAAATTTTTTTGGTGACTTATTTTTAAGTTTTCAGTATCTTCAGGATAATCCAGCTCTCACCCTTGTTGAGTTTAATACAAAACTTAAAAATGCATCAGCCAAGGTCTTTCCAAGCTTAAAACTTTCCTTGCTTTCCAGAAAACAAGTTGATGAAATGTAAACTCAAGGACAAACACAAGATATTTGAACATATCAATAAGAGAAGCTCAAGTGAGCCAGAAATACTTTTCAATTACTAGCAAAAAGAACAATATGCACTTTATTTCCATCTGAAATCCGTTTTCCGTTCGGGAATGGTATTTCCACCCCAATTTGTCCCATGCATGACATTTTTAGATGTGAAATTTCATTTGCGCTGTACAAACCACAACTTTAAAAATGAGCCTGGAATAAATAGAACACAACACTCAAAGAGCAAAGAAAGGAAGATGGGGTCAGGAAACAGCAAGAGACAGGTTCTGATCTCTGCAGAGCAGATGTGTGGTTTTCCTTTCCAGATATAAAATGTGAAAGCCTTAGAAATGGTACAAAAGTTGAATATACAACACGCGGTACAAACTGAAGTTGCCTAATTAAAATAGGCTTCAAAAATAAAAATTGATACAAGCAGAGTATGTTCAAGTGAGAATTTGTAATTTCCAACTATTAGATATCTCAGGTATTTAATTTTGAGGATTTTAGCCTAAGGCATCTTTGGGGCATTGCTGAAAGTCCTCCTGCAGCGTTGGTGTAAAAGGGAACTTGGAGAAACTTCGTCGTTTTGCTGCTGGTGGCACTGACTGGCTGATCAGCACCAGCACGAGGAAGAGATGTCCAAGTTCACTTCTCCCTCAAGCTGCAGGGAGCTGGCAGAACTGTCCCCAAAAAATTCCTGGTGATGCCTTGAGGAATCCAGACCTTTTTGTTGTCATGAATGCTGCATTTACAATAGAATTCCATACCAAACTCTGAGAGACACAACAAGAAGTTTGCCTACAGTACAAAAATCTTCGACAGCAAATAAGCTTGGGATCTTTTCCTAGAACCAAAACAAGAGGATTATTAATTCCTAGTAGAAAGCTCAGCTCTGACCAGCTGGTAAGATAGCACAGAGGAGTTCTGAGTTAGTGATTTTATTAAAGATTGCATATGGCAAGTTCACAGTTCATTCTTCTGGCAGTGCACATGCACGTAACGAAAGAAAATATAAAACTTTGGAAAATACAAAATAAATTAAATACATGCAAATCTGCAACTTCATTAAATATGTTTAGCAAAATGCTCCCCCAAAATAGTGCAACATTAAAAAAAAAAAACCCAAAAACCAAAAACAAGTTAAATTAAGTTCAACTTACTTTGCAACACCCTAATTTCAGTAGAAAAAAATATCTAAAGTCAACTCACAATCTTCCAAAACGCTCTACGGAACTGAAGAGTTCTACACCTACACATTCAGAAATTTAAAAAAAAAAAAAATCCCAATCAATCTCAAATTAAAAAAAGAGCAAACGTCTGCAAAAGAAGACCAGAGGGCTACGCTCGGCTGGAGCCTTCCTGGAATTCCAGCGTCCTGGAGCCTTCCTGGAATCCCGGCTTCCTGGAGTCCCACCTGCCCCAGGAGATGGGGAGGGAGGGAGGAGGAGGAGGAGGAGGAGGAGGAGCAGCACCTTCTGCCTGCCAGCAGAACCTTCCCAGAGCAATTCCAGTGCCCCCTTGCTGGGAAGATGGAAATTTGCTGGCTGAGAGATCCAGGGAAGGCTTATCCTTCCCTCTGGACCTTCCACAGGATGTGTGGATATAATGGCTTAGAAAGACATTCCCTTGCCCTGGAAATGTGCTCCTCACATCCCAGCAAAAAAATTCCCAAATTTGGTCTGCAAAGGACAGTTTGAGTGCACAACTCTCACCTCCTTTAGGATTTTTTTTTAAGGAAGGGTTTGGGGGATTTTATTTTCCTTTGTTCTGGTAGGGAACTGTTCCCTCTGGGATCTGAATTCCGGTGTGAACAGATCGGGGCTTGTCTGGGGAAAGGGAGAGGGGGGAGATACTTGTCAGATTTTCCAAGGCAAGATTTCCACAGCATTCTGAAATCCTTCAAAAATTCCTAGGGAAAAACTCTTACAAACACGTGGCTAAGCTGTCCCACTCCAGGAAAACCCACCACTGGAGGGAGAACTACAAGGGAACAGGAGCTTAATTTTGAAACAGGTCACACAGATAAATTCATGGAACTACCAAACTTCAAATCCTACGTCTATACTAACAGATTTCTCTGCATCCCATTTGTTCTTTACCAGGTACTGCAATAAAGGTTATTTTATACAGTCCAAAGATTTATTTTTTTTTTTTTTTTAAATCAGGATATTACAAATGGTTCTTTGGGGAAATTTCCTTCTGAAAATGTTAAGCAGTAAAATTAAACCACATAGCAGCACATTTTCATCCCCTAAAAATATAAAATAATATGTATATTATACAGGAAATCAGTCATGACAGAGCACAATCACCTGCCTTTGATGGCACTTGGTCATTGAATAATTAATTCCTTGATGCCAGAAGTCGGGAATTACCGATGCCAACGGAGGACTCGGAAAAAAAAAAAAGCATCACTCTGAGTGGAGAAGCCCCAACCTAAGCAGCGCCAAGGGGTCGTGGAATTCGGAGTGGCAGACTCCCTATCATCCTTACTGAGGTGGGAATGTTCCAGACACTGTACAAGGATCTGGAGGAGCTGAGCTGGACACTGCTGTACACGTGGAGATCCTACGAAGCTCGGAGTACCTGGAGCGGGGCGTCGCCGACGGCCGTGGGAAGCGCAGGATGGGCAGGACGTGGACCGGGTTGGAGAGGGGCAAAAAAGAAACTAATGTGACTTAATGACAGTCCTTAACATGCTAAGTGGAACTGACCTGCCAGAGAGAGCGAGAAAGGGAAGGGGAATTAGTGGATTTGGGGGATTAGAAAGCAGAGCACCCAAATGGGATGGGCAGCAAACAAAGATCTGCAATCACGTCAAAAAAATTATGGAATTTGGGTCTCACAAAATGAGCCAGTTCTCCTGATGGAATTCAGTCCCTGCCACCTCTGCAGCCTGGAATTATGTCTCACCCAAACACTGTGGGAAATGGATTTGTAGAAAATTCTCAACAAGTATTAAAATTCACACCATCACAATCAAAACCCAACTATTTCCTAATTGCAATATACTATAAATGTTTCTTGGCCTATCAGGTTTTACCACACCATACTACAAGTGCCTTAAAGCCAATAATCTAAAATTACCCCTCATGAGTCCTACTACAATACATCTTTCACAGTTCTGTTTCTCCAAAGTACCCAGTCTTTTTTACAAAACCATCCTTTGAAACTTGTTTCTAGTTCCATTTCTCTCTCAAGGATGTCTGTCCTATTCCATGGCATTTCTAAATCAACATTTCTTATCTCAAAGTTTACATACAGACACACACTATGTGAACCTTCTATCAAGTTTTAAGAATTTTCTACAAATCCATTTCCCACAAACACTATCTAAAGGCCCACCTTTTTTTTTTCCCCCTTTAATTTTCTCTTCCTTTCATGGGATTTTTCTCTTGGCTCATTGGATGTGCTGGTGTGTGTTTGTCTCATGTAATAAGGGGGGAGGGGGGAAAGTAACAGCAGCAGAATTTGAAAATTATAAAATCAAAAAGATTAAAAAATACAAATTCAAACCAACCTTTCTGTTCTCTGTCTCCTGACAGAAATATTTTCCTGATATATATATACACACATATAAAATAAGTGTTTACAGAAAACCCTGAAATTTTATATATAATATCATTATATTATTATAAAAATATACTCTACAATTTTATATATGCACATTATACAAGCACACTTTATTAAAACCCACATTTCTTTCTCTTCCATCTGCTGGGTTAATCAATCATAACCACTGACCAGTCTAACAGCACTAAGTGTCTTTTATCTTTATGGTGAATAATGAATGAACTCAAGATAAATCTCTCCTCAGCAAATGTTGAAACAGGAACCTCAATTTTATTTCTCTGCTGTTAAATGACTACAAAAGAGAGTTTTGTTTTAGTGCCAGCTGGGTAGAACTGCCCCATTCCAAAGCACTTTCTGCAGAGCCTAGGAATGTCTCAATAATAATCAGGAAATAATCTGGATGAAGTTCTCCCTGACCTGGCAGCACCTTTACTAACACCCTTACTCAGACCCCTGGGTTGCCATCCAAGCTCAGAATTCAGGTTACTCAGATACTCCCAATTTTGGCAGCCAAACAGTTGGAATTTGCCAATAAAATTCTTAACCAAAGGACCAAAACTGAGGAGAACTGAGCTTCTCCAATCACTTTGCAGCCTTCCTGGACTACACCTTCCACACTTATTTCTGGATGTGAGCAAAAAATCTAGAATACATTGTTGAAATGGTTTCATCCAACCCCTAGGGCTGCCATTTGGTTTTCAGATTTTTCCTAGTTTTTTCCAGAAACCCCAAACTTTATCCAGTTTCTCCTGACATCTTCCATCTTCTTTTTCTCCAGCCTCATTTTCCCTGGTGCTCCTCTGCAATATGGCCTGAACCTGTTCATCTCCATAGCCCTCAAATTTAAACCTCAACATCTGAAATATCTGGTATTTTGTGCCTCCTGATTGATTTTTCTTGACTTCCACAGTCCTGCCTTGTTATTACAAACCCACCTAGTTTGAAGTGTGGTTATTTTATTAATACCTTTCATTAATCTACAGTTGTTCACCTGACACGTGTGGCCTGTTTGAGTCTGACTCTTCATTTCACTGCAGCTGGCAAATTAAAGGTGCATTTACTTGAGGCAGGTGGCAGCTTGTCCCCCTCAGAGCAGCTGTTACAAGAAATGTTTAGAAATCTTTGACAAGGCTCTGTATCCCACTCTTTGCCAGGTCACAGAGGTGGGAATGCAATGAAGCAGATGGGCAGAGACACCTCACTCCTGAGATGGAAAAGCCAATTTCAGACCAGAATGGACAAAACCACTCAGCAACGCCTTGCCCTAATTTATCCACAGAGGAAATATTTGTTGCTGGAAGCTCATGGCAAACACAATGAGCAGGAACAATCCCCCAGCACAGTAACAGCTTGAGTGTGGCGTGATGGATGCTTGGCATGCAAGCCTGACATGAAACACTCCCAAAAAAAAAGCTAAAAACACCAAGTATGCCTCAAGGAGACCACAGACCATAAAGAGAGTTGTGAGACAGAATTAATCCTCAAGGAGGGCAAAAAGCCAGACTTGGAGGGACAAGTTTGCTGTCCCCAGGCTGCTTTTCACAGCCACTCGCTGCCATCCGGCTCTTGGCATGTCTGTGGCATAAAGTGATCATGTAAAATAATGCAGATATAAAATCCCTCCAATAATGAGTATTTAAAGAAAGAAATGGCAGGATGAAGTCCATGGAACAGTCTCCTGGGAATATGCTGCTCATATTTTGCTTAGGAGAAACTCTCAAGCTCTGGCAATTAAAGTAAAATATTTACGTTGTTTTTATTTTTCATGAAGAGAACTAAGAGTGCAAAGTGTGTCAAATGGTGACACTCACATTTGGAGATGTCTCTTGTTACCACTTACAGCTGCTCTACCCCTATCCCAGGCTGGAATGTCCCAACATGGAAACACATTCATGGTACAGAAAGCAGAAGATAATGCTGGCAGAAGGAACCTCTGGATCTGTATTTTTACTACATGAGTTTCATATCTCTATATGTGAATTTTGGTCCAGACTTACCAGAGCAGTTTTTAAAAAACTTTTAAGTGCTAAGTCATTAAAATAAAACCTCTCCTCAGCAGCTGGCAAAGCCTCTTAACAGGCACTCAATTAACGAGTATTGTAATTATCAGCAAACAACTACTAAAAATAGGAAAAAAAAATTACTGTGGGTCTCCTAAAAGCAAGATGAAATATAAGGGAAATGAGTGGGAGAAGAGGTGAGTAAGTTACTCTGGCCTTACCTCTCGTTTATTTGGTGTTGTGGTAGTAGCTGGAGTTGGACATCCCTCCCCCTCGGATGGCGTGGACGGCCGTCGGAGAAGACGCTGGGTAGTGACCAGGGCGGATGGGCTTGGCTGCACAGGGGAAGGAGGGACCAAACAAGACATTTTACCTTTCCCATTTTAGCTTCCCACCTCCCCTTCTCCTTCAAGGGAAACCCCATTGTTTCCCACCTCAGTGGTTTCTGATCCAGCTGTGCAGAACACAGCACTGCCTGCCCCTGCCAACAACAAATACACCCATTTTCCTGCTAGCAGATCCTTTCTCCTGGTGGCAGAGCCCTTCCACCTTCCCATGCATTAGATCTGCAAAGGTTCTGGACTGTCCAACAACAGAGGGAAGTCACTTGGTGGGCAGCGAGGCGCTTTTTATATCTAATTTACACCATTCCAGAAGATGTCAAGACGAAACTTGGATGGCTCCCTACAAGAGGAAGCATTCAGGAGGTGACACTTTGTGCTGCGTGATTCTCCCTCAGGATTTAATACCCCAATATTGTCGTCTCCATCTAAACCATTATCCTTTTTAATCCCATGAAATCATTCCAAGAATTGCCCCATACTTCTGTTGTGTGCACGCATTACATTGTGCCTCGGAGATATATCAATATCTGGAGTACAAAGGAAGATTTTTTGGAATTAAATCACATGGAGGAGTAATCAGGGGGAAAAAAGAGAAATGGACAAGGTTCAGAAAGGCAAGGAAAGAATGAAAGCAGAGAGGGAGCGTGTAGGGGGAGGAGGAGGAAGAAAGTGAGCCACTAATTTAAGGAGACAAGTTTTCAGGTCACTAGAAGGGCACACAAGACCCATTATGCCCTTTATTTACCCAGTGGAACAGCAGAGCCTCTTTAAACTCGAGGTGGGGCAAATTCCATGCAAAAGCAAGGCCTTTGAAGATTCCTGCGCAGCAGAGGAGAAGCAGCCCCTAATGTTTTACTCCCTCCACTCAACCCCCAGCAACCACCCGAGCCTGAAGCACGTGGGCAGCCCCTTTAGCTCCATGTCCTCACCAATTTGGGCAGAGTGTGCTCTCCGGGCCATGTTTTTGGCTCTCACGGCCTCCTTAATGCGATCCACCTCCTGCTGGTAGCGCTTGCGGTCGCGCATGGCGTTTTCCTTGGCCTCCTTCAGTGCACTCTCCAGGGCCTTAACTCTCTCTGCCGTAGCTCGAAGGCGTTTCTCCAGCTTAGGAAGCTCGCAACGAAGATCTGCATTATCACGTACCAGCTGCGGGGAAAGCCGTGCAAAATTAAAGGAGGTCAAAAGAAAGCGGCGAAAATCTCCTCAGAGAAATGGCGGGAGAAGTCGCCTCACAGAGAGGAAAGGCCACCATGCTCTCCATATGTCATGAACTAAAATTAAACCAATGTATTCCAAAAATTAATGTGCAAAGCTTAGGTTAAAGAGAAATTTGGAACATCCTGAGCTGGAATGGACCCACAAGGTCAAAAGAAAGTGGCAAAAATCTCCTCAGAAAAATGGCGGGAAAAGTCACCTCACAAGGAGAGAGAAAACGCCACCAGTTGTTCTCCATATGTCATGTGCTAAAATTAAACAGGTTTCTTCCAGAAATTAATGTGAAAGGCTTAGGTTAAAGAGAAATTTAGAATATCCTGAGCTGGAATGGACCCACAAGGTCAAAAGAAAGTGGCAAAAATCTCCTCAGAAAAATGGTAGAAAAAGTCGCCTCACAAAGAGAGTGGAAATGCCACTGGTTTCTCTCCATGCCTTGTGTATTAAAATTAAACAGGTTTCTTCCAGAAATTAATGTGAAAGGCTTAGTTTAAAGAGAAATTTAGAATATCCTGAGCTGGAATGGACCCACAAGGTCAAAAAAAAAGTGGCAAAAATCTCCTCAGAGAAATGGCAGGAGAAGTCCCCTCATGAGGAGAGAGGAAATGCCACTTGGCTGCTCTCCATGCCTCGTGTACTAAAATTAAGCAGATTTCTTCTAGAAATTAATGTCAAAATCTTAGTTCAAAGAGAAATTTAGAATATCATGAATTGGAATGCACCCACAAGGTCAAAAGAAAGTGGCAAAAATCTCCTAGAGAAATGGCAGGAAAAGTCACCTCATGAAGAGAGAGAAAACACCACCATGCTCTCCATATGTCAGTACTAAAGTTAAACAGGTTTATTCCAGAAATTAGTGTAAATATTCTAGGTTAAATAGAAATTTAGAATGTTCTGAGCTGGAATGGACCCACAAGGATCAAGTCCAGCTCCTTACCCCACACAGGGCACCCCAACAATGCCACCCTGTGCCTGAGGGCATCATCCAAGCTCAGTTTTACTCATAAAATTCACTTCTCTGGCTGAGGAGTCACCATCATTTAAATTGTCCAGAAAGATCAAAGCAAAATAAAATTTATTCCATTCAACAAGATTCCACAGAGCTGGTCCTGAGAGATGAGGACTCGAGGACCAACCCTGCCACTGCAGAGAATTTGACAGCCAGATTTGCTTCTCTACACATCCAAAACTGCAGCAGAAACTCTACATTTCCTCAGAACAGAGAAATCGCCAGGATTTTGCAAATCCTCGATCACCTCATTACTTTAAAATAATAATTTTACAGACAACACCAGGGATCACCCCAAATTCATAATTTCCAGTTGTTCTGATGTGTTCACCTGTGTGTTCCCTACTCATGGATGTGGGAAAACTGGGAACTTCACTAAGAAATCACTTTTAGGCCTGTAACTACAAATATAATTATATGCAACTTTGAATTCGTGCACTTCCTCAGTTTAACATGAACCTGAGTGAGGTTTATCAATTATACAAATCACATCTGACCTCCCATGCAGCAACAGCCAAGAGAGGATTGATTTTTAATAAACACAAAGCTGATCTGGGCAGAAAATCCAGCACAATTTCTACTGAACAGATTACACCACTGCTGGAAATCAACAGAAATCTGCTCCAAAGGAGTGACTCTCCCTTTTCTGGAGAGAAAAGTGGATTAACAACCACATTAATAATGCAGAAAAGCAACAGCATGTCCTGACATTCACACTTGTTTAACAATCAGAGCATTTTACACCTGCTGGGCCAGGCTTAGTGCTGGAGAAAAACACAAACAAGCTAAAAAAACATAGTCACAATGTGCTTTTTCTGCAAGTGCTGAACCCTTGTTGTGTGAAATAGTCATGATTCAAAATCCAAGCAGGATGCTATCAAGTCCAACGTCACTTTTCTCTGAAAGTTTCCGTACAAGATGTGGATTCCAAGTTGATTTTGAGTAAATACACGCTAATGAGAGCTATAAAAATCCACATTTGAAACCCAGCAGATGCATGAAACGAGTGCAAAAAAAAGGGCAAAATGGTAAAAGAAAAACCACTCTGAACATATCCCAGTTTCCACATTTAGAAAGTAGGTCTTGAAACCATCTGTTCCCTGGGAATCTGAAAACCCCAAACCTTAGCAGACACTTGTCACAGTCCAGCACTTCCTGCTCTTTGGGCACTTCCACAGGAGTAATTAAAGCAAATCTGGGAGTGTGGGTCACTAATACAGCTTCAGGAGAGTGCACTGCTCACTGTTATGCCACTGCTCAAAAAAGAAATCAAAACAGCTTTAGTGCTTTGTGTTGTGCACCTAACAATAGGACACAGCTCCAGCATAGTGGGAGAGGAGATTTTAGGGAGAAATCCTTCCCTGGGAAGGTGGGGAGGCCCTGGCACAGGCTGTCCAGGGAAGCTGGGGCTGCCCCTGGATCCCTGGAAGTGTCCAAGGCCAGGCTGGACAGAGCAGCCTGGGACAGTGGAAGCTGTGGGACATGGGACTGGATGGGCTGGACTGGATTCCCACGTGGGATAGGACTGGATGGGCTTTAATTCCAGATCTGGGATTGTATGAAACTGGAATTCCATGAAGGAGGGAGGACACACAAATGGACCAGCCCAGAAATTACCAACCTTGGCACCCCATGGAGGCACCAGCCCTTCAGCTGCACAGAAAACCCCAATTCCATTGTTTTCACTGAAAACTCTGCTGGTTGAATCCACTCCAACCACCTCCAGGGTGCCTCTGAGCAGCTTCAGGCCAGGAGTCAAATTGGGGATGCACAATCCATCCAGAAAACAGCTATTTTTATGTATTTCCTCGTGCCAAAACAGAACTATTTTCATAGGAAAAAAAACTTCCTTATTTACCACATTTCTAAAAGTACAGGGAGTGGGAAGAGCAGCTCTAGCTCCCAATTCCAAGGAGTTTAGTGGGTATCTTTTCCTCAGACCGGTTACCTTCCAAAATTTCCCTTGTAAATATTTAAAAAGTGCATTTTTTGCTGGAGGGAGGGGAAAGGGAGCCTTTACCTGTTTGTGAACCTTTGTAAGTTGTTCCAGGTTGTTCTCAAGAAAGGAAATTTTCTGCTTCTGCGCCGCGCTTCCACCTCCATCATCACTATCCAGTTCAACACTCTGCACACAAAATTGCAGCACTCAGCAAAGCCAGGCACAAACTCAAGGGGAAGCTCAGCTCTTTGGAAATTTGAGCTCCCCAAAGGCAAAAAAGTCTTACAGAGCCCCAGATTTAAGAGAAATTATTTTAAGTCTTTGTTTGATATTTAGGAACTGCATTTCATCTTACACAAAAAAAGCACCCCAAGCTATTTTTACTGAACAATTGTGGGGGAATCCTGAATAGGAAAATCAAGTTATACTAAATAATTTCTGAAACTCATCATCTTTGGGAATTTAGCTGAACTGCACTGGATAAGTTCATTCCCCTCACTCAACAACATTTTCCTTATCAAATTAGAACCAAATAAAAGCTGATAAACATCACAACATCTTTGATCTTGTTTCTCACTGCTACTAAAAAAGACGTTATCCCATTTTGTAAATGCATGCACTAAAGGCTTCCAGCAAATCACAAGAATACTGCAAAAAAAGAGAAGATTTGAGTTTAAAAGAGCAGAGTTTTACTTTTTTAACACGGGTGGTAAGATCCTGGACAAACAGCTTGCGCAGATTGTGAAGAGTCTGAAGTTCCCTTGCCTGGAATAAAAATAACAAAACAATAATTTTTAGAAAAGCACAAATGACTAGGACATAGGAGATGCTCTGGTGTAAAAGTTCTCCTTGGATTTGAGTTGGTAAGAGGAGCAAAGAACTCTGGATTTTCTCTCTAGGAATCACTCTGAATGCACAAAATAAACCCCACCCAGCTCCAAAACCACACTGAAGAGAGCAATTTATCCAAAACTGGTAAAAGCAACCTTTTTAAATTTTAATTTAGGTAGTTCAAAGCTGTTTACTCAAAAATTAAAATATATATCACCAGGGTGGCAGGGTGTACAGATATAGAGGGAATTAAGTGTAATTAAGACCTACCACTGTTTCCTCCAGCCCTTTAAGGTCTTCTCTTGCTTGTTCCCTTTTATCATTAAGGAGTCTGGAAAGATCACAACATGGAACACAAATCAATCACAATAAACAGAGGAAAATCAACAGCATCCACCTGGAGCTGCACATCTGCAGGTGGCAGCAAATTGCACATCTCTAATTATGCTTTTGACTGCCCCAAATATCCAATTTTATCACCTGGAAGGGCTGAGTCACCACTTCCATCTTTGTGTCCACACATGGGATGTTTCTCTCTCATTTCCAGGAAAGGCTTTTACTCAAACATCTGATTTAAAACCCCCCAAAAAAGTCAACAAACTCCATCAAAATATCCCAACTTCTTTCATGCTTGTTTTGCTGTGTATTAAGGAATGAGAGATTTAAGACTTGCTGGGGTATTTTATAAAATCAGAGCTCTAATGATCTCTTTTTGGTAGTGATCAAAGCCACTATTGAAAAGCCTGTGATATAAAAATAGAAAGTAATTGGTAATTATTTATTAGTAGCTCCTGCTGGCTTTGCTACTAAAATTACATTTTCAGTGTGAATATTCTGACACAAATCCCTCTCCCTAGCACATTTTCCACACATGACGAGGTTCAGGGATACCAAACTGTGCACTTACATGAGCTTTTCCAGTTTCATTTCTCTTTCCTGGTCCTCAATTTTTAATTTATCATAATCAGCACTCAGCTTCTCCTGTTCCAGCTGCAGCTTCTGGTTCATGCTGGAAACGTGAAAGGAAAAGTCAGCCCAGCTTAGGAGGAAGGGAGGGAAAATCTCCACCAACAAAATGGGATTGGGCAGAGAAAAAGTAAAGCTGTAACTCTCTACTGAATAACTCTGGAAGAAATGAAGCATAAAGAACCTGGAGGACATTATTTTAAAATATTGGAGAGCTAAATTCAGTGGTTTCTTTTGTTTGCCTTAGAGGAGGACACAAATTGTTGTTGGCATCTTTCTGCCTTCTTTCCTCATTTCCCTATAATAAATCTTTGGCCATACACAATAAATATGATAAAATAATACCTAGGTTTTAGAAAAAGAAGAACACAGGAGGAAAGCATAACAGAGTCACATTGGTGTGTGAGGAAAAAATATAAAAATGAGTGAAAATGGGAGCTGTTGGCGTCACCCAGACTCTCAGATGGTCTGGGGCAGGACTGGCTGCTGTGAGAATCTCAAAACCTTCCTGGGGGTGTGGTTCAGTGGTGGCTGAACTCAGTGACCTTAAAGGATTTTCCAGCCCAAATGATTCCATGATCCTTTAAAACCTGCTCTGCCCCAAGCTCCTCTCACCTCCTGACCTGCAGGTGCAACATCACCCTTTTTTTAAAACTCTATAATTTTTATGGCCTTGTTAAAGCTCCCCAATAAAGAATTAGGCACTGTAATCCACCCTGCAAAATAATTACAGGGTTGGCTGCTGCGTGTAAGGACAGAACTTGCAAAGAAGCATCAATCAAACCTAACAAAACCGAGCCCAAAGCATCCCAGGCCCGAGGAGGGACGGGGAGGGTGAACTCACTCCCTGATTTCGTCGATTATTTTCTGCTTCTCTTCGATCTCATCCCTCAGCCTGGACAGCTGCTTCTGGTGGGCTTCCCTGTGGCTCTCCATCTGCTGCTCCAGAGCCTTCTGCAAGCACAGAGCAGGGAATCAGAGCAACCCAGGGACACACAGCTCCCTCTCACCCAGCCTCTGCATTTGAGGGGAGCGACCAAATCCAGTCAGGAATCTGCCTGGCATTGCCTTCTGTCATCACTAAACTCTGGGCCTGCTCATCCAACCTTTTTAGCAACAGATGTACAACAATTTTCACTCATTTTCTTTCAAAAAGTACCCCATGAAAACCTATTTGTGGCTTGGCCACAAATGCCACTGATTTTACACCAAATCCTCTCTTATTACCCCTTTATTCACCCAGGAAATACTTGCACAGCTCTACCTGTGACAGAAACAAAACCCAAACCCCTGAGAATTGTTTATCCACAGCCCTGCTATCGAAATTGTTATTTATAAATTTAAACTCTAGGAGTAAATACGCCTCAAGCAACAGGAAAAACTCAATTTATGTCTTTAGACTGCTAACACAAACTTAGCTTTTTTCCTCAGAGCTGTAAGGTACAAGCACTTTAATCACAACTGCTTTAATCACTTTACAACTGCTTTCATCACTTAAAATTTTTATGATGGAGGGAAAAGTTCTGCAGCTGGCAAACCTCTATCACTGTCCTTGTAAAATTGTATTTTTCCTTGTCTGCAATGTGCAACCCCATCAGAACAACTCATTATTGCAAACATTTCCTGGCATTCCAAAGGAAAAATGCCAGAAAATAGGTTTATATATTTTATTATTATTTCCAGGAGATAATCAGAATTCCAGCCAAACACTGGGGAAGTAGCCTCTTTTAAAATCAAATTTATAAGTACCTAAATGATATTAACCCCAGCAGCCTCATTCACTACTGAGCAAATTGACTTTCAGCAGAGCTCCAGCAGCAAAAAATTAGTGTAACACAGAGGTGAATCAATGTAATTTTTGGCCATGTGAACAGGAAGACAAAATTCCACCCCAATGAACAATCTCACCAAGAAATTCCCTCAAAATTTCCACTGTGCCAAGCTACCTTCATCTCCTCTGCATCCTGGAGTCGCGTCAGGTGCTCCTTCTCCTTGTCCTTGAAGCTGACTTCGTGCATTTTTTCTGTTTAAAGGTGGAGACAGTTTTAATTTTAAATTTTAGATTTTTCAATAAATTTAATTTATTCCAGGAGATGGAATAAAGATTCTGTTCTAACAATGCAGGAGATGATAAAAAAGATTTTCAAAAAATAAAAAGTCTTGTCCCCACCTGCTGCTCCCTCAGAGAGGGAAAATTCCTTGTGCAGAAATCCAGAATTATTTTAAGGCTGTTATAAATTGATATAACCTAGGAGCTTAGCAAAGCTACAAGAGCTTCTTTTGATACCTACACATTTTCCACATTGAATTGGGCAGGGAAAGCCAAGCAAACCTTAAAAATTGAGTCAGCTGGGAAAGACACAACTTGTGCCCATCCGAGGGAAGCAGCTTTGTTTGGAATGAGGCACAACTGAAATTTAGACACATCCTTATTTTACAGAAATCCAGAATTTTACAGAACATTCAGCAAGACTGATTGGTGTTGTTTGGTCAAGGATCTGTGTGGGGGTTTACACAGTTTTTCTCATCATTAAGACACAAAACTGAGTCTCCCAAGACAGGAGTGCCGAGACCCGGAGCTGTACCTTGAGCGCGCAACTTGGCCAGCTCCTCGTTGAGGGAGTCCTGGGACTCCTCCAGCTGCCTCCTCTTCTGCTCCATGTTCTGCATGTAGTCTGTCAGGGATTTGATCTTTGCTTCGTGCTTCAAAGACAAGGAATAGCAGTGAGAGGGGAGGAGCACGGCCGTGCCCTGGGAGTTCAGGGACAGCTGTCCCACCCAAAGGGGAGGAAACAGAGAATTTCCACATCCAGAGGGGATGACTGGGAGAACTCCCAGCAGAATGGCTGGGAAGGAGCTAAGAGATCAAAGCAGGCTGTGTTTTCAGAGTTTCACTCGGTAGCTCAATTTGGAATTCAGGCAGTAATCCCAAAACATTCCTGGAAGCTCCTGACTTGGTGTTAAGCCAGCAGCAGCTTTTTAAAAGCACCAGCCTTGAGGTGGCTTTGGGATCTTCAGCCTGCAAAAGCTCAGATGGACTCTCCCCAGCCCTCCTGATGGTTTGGCTGTGGCCAACAACCTTGAACTAGAAGGGCTAATGGGTGAATAGAAAACAGCAAAGTTTGTAGTGAAAACACTCAAAATCACACACACAAAATCACAAGGTTGGAAGAGACCTTCCAGATCATCGAGTCCAACGTGTTCCCTGACACCTCAACTAAACCTGGCACCCAGTGCCACATCCAGGTTTTGTTAAACACACCCAGGGATGGTGACTGCACCACCTCCCCCAGGCAAACCATTCCAGAACTTTATCACTCTGTAAAAACTTTTTCCTAATATCCAACCTATATTTCCCTTGATGCAGCTTGAGACTAAAATGTTTTTAGCAACAGACATACCACAATTTTGATTCATTTTCTTGCAAAATGTACCCCATGAAAACACAGGGCTTGGCCACAAATGCCACTGATTTTACACCAAATCCTCTCTTATTACCCCTGCTTATTCACCCAGGAAATACTTGTACAGCTGTACCTGTGACAGATAGAGCTGGATCCTATTTGAGGATAAAAATTAAGATAGTCTGGATTATTGCATCTTAATTAAAAAGATTGAGTAGAACTTAACAAAGACACCCTGCTGAAGGAAAAGGGGCTCTCCCTGCTCCAGGTTTGCTTAGGATAACTGCTAGGGAATGAAACTGGATCATGTTTTTCCCTTCCCATGTCCATTTCCATGTAGGTGAGGGTGTCAGAGCTCTCAGCCCCTCTCCACCGCCATCCCTGTCACCCACTCAGAACCTCCTACCCCTGGATTTCTACCCCAGAAAGTTTTCCATGGTATTTTGTAGCTCACTGCCTCGTTTTCTCAACAGCACACCCACAGAGCAGGTCCAGGGAGCTCCCCAAAGGTTTGGCTTGTGAAAAACACAGTCAGTGATGTTATAAAGTGATCCAAGACACAAATTATAGACCCACAGAATGAACCAGAGTGAAAAAGACCTTCGAGATCAACAAACTGCTGGTGAGGAAACCACTCCAGGGAGGAATTTCACTGCTATGCCACCACACACATTTGGAGACCCACAGCAGGACATGACCTTGCCAGAGCTCAGGACAAAACCTCAGGATATGCTCAAAAACAGTGAGGGGGAGTGGCCTGGGGTGACTTCATGATTCTTGTATCCCCACTTGTCTGTTCAGCCCAGAAATAAGTTTTGCACCTTTGAGGCTGGTTCTGAGAGCGAAGGAGGGGAGAGAAGAAGCACGGATTTTGTTTTCAGCCACTGCACTCGCTCCTCCACATTCCTGCGTTGTCTGCAGCACGGACAGACGGCAGGACAGAGCTCTCCTTTGCTTTTAGTTAGATTTTAGCTAGCTGAGGCAGACAAGTTCCCTGCACTGTGGTTGTTTGGACCTGTTTAAACCTGCTCTGGATGAACACCAGAAGATCACCGGCAGCTCTCACCTGTGGCCCAGCAGGGCCGTGACATTTTCTGATAGGAGACTGAGAGGGCCGAGCTACAGCCCACCAAGGGGACTTGTCTGAGTTTGTCATCTCTTTTGGAGCGGCAACAGGTTTTATTGTTTGATATTGTTCATTTTTTGTGCTGGTCAATGCTTTGCCTGTTAAATAAAGAGATTTTTTTCACTTTTCTACAAGGAAACCTTTTCCCAAACCACTTGGGGGAGGGACCACTTAAATCTACATTCTAGAGGAACCCCTTTGGAGTTTTTCTCCCAGATTTGCCCTAAACCAGGACAGGGAGGTGTGGAAGAGGTTTTACAGCAACTTCTGTGAGCCACAGAGAAGTCTGACAAGAGGATCCATGTTTACCCCCGAAAGAATTTTCTACCAAGGTCATTGACATAGAAACCAAGAAAGAAAGAAGGATAAATAAGAGAAACCTGCAGCTGCCTATTCCAGTGAACACTTTGTTTGTCTCTCGTGACCAAGGAGTAAACTTAGCAGGTTTGTGAGAATGTATAAAAAGCACGCATAAAATATCATAAAATACAAACAATAAAATATATATAATAAAAGCAGTTTGAAGCCTTCCGAAAACGGAGCGTGTCGCTTTGTGTCGTCTCAGTCTCAACTGCGAACACGGAGGAAAAAGAGAAGAGAGAGCAGACAACAAAACACCCACGGGGCCACACTGCTGCGCTTCACAGAATTTCTCACCCCTGGCACGCACATTCCATGGGGAAGGAGGCTGGCAGGGCCACCAGGGCCTGGAGGAGGCAGGGGCAGACCCACCTGGGAGATGAGGAGCTGGCAGGCCGCCAGCTCCCTCTCGCTGGCGTTCATCTTCCTGTTGGAGTCCATCTGGGCGCTCTCCAGCTGCTTGCTGCGGTTCACCAGAGACTTCACCTCCGACTTCATCTTGCTGATGTAGAGCCTGGCCATGGTGAACTCCTCCTCGATCACGCCGTTCACATCTGCCAACTGGGGATGGCCAGCTGCTCGCACCCAGAGCTCCTCCTGCTCTGGGAGCCAGCCTGGAGGCTGGGTCTGGGGTTTTGGGGTGGTTTTACAGGCCAGGGTCATTTTAGAAAGAGGGTTTGGAGCAGGGGAGGAGAGCATAAGTTACTTCTGAAAGCTTAAAACTCATGTTTGGACTCATGTTTGGACAGTGTAGGACAAAATGTGTAGGACAAAAAAAAATCAGAATTGGGTTCTTTTCACAAAGCAATGAATGCTTATTAATTAAAGAGATATCTTCCTTCAGAATTTTTGGTTTGATTTGTCCTTTTATCTTGTATATTTTATTTTTATTTAGCTTGTATATTTCACATTTGTGTGAAGGGATATCATACCCAGGCATTAGGATGGAGATCAGGGAAAGGCTCTTCCCCCAGAGGGTGCTGGCACTGCCCAGGCTCCCCAGGGAATGGGCACATTCTCAAGAGCTCCAGGAGGGTTTGGACAGTGCTCCAAGGATGCCCAGGGTGGGATTTTGGGGTGTCTGTGCAGGACCACAAACTGGATCCACAATCCTGTGGGTCCCCCCCAGCTGTGGATATTCCACTGAGGAGCTGTGCAGGTTCTCCCTGAGCAATAACACAGCTCAACTTCATCTGCTTCCCCTTTTTATTTCCCAGCACTGCCAAGGGGAAGGGAACATGTGCTGCTTCTTCTCCCAAAAATCCTGAAAAATTACACTTCTTCCAAAATTTCAGTCTGCTCTGAGATTAGACACACTTGGAGAAGATGCTAATTGCCAACAAATTTGAAATTATTCTCTAAGCGCTCCTCAGTCTGGCCTGATTTCCACTGGCAGCTGTCCCCTGAAGTGCTGACATCTCAGTTCCTACAAAAACTTGTACCAAACTGCCTCTGCCTCCATTTGCAAAGATTCCCTCTCCCAGTCCCTGCTCCTACGGCCACCAGAGGCTGCTGTGACATCTCCAAAGGCTGCAGGCTGCAGCAGCACAGGGACAGCAGGGATTGTGTCCTCTGCAGCAGGACAGGCTGGAGCTGCTGCTGACCTGAGAGCCTTGGCAGGACATCAACAACAAGTGAACTAAAAAATGTATTGCAAGGAATTTTCATATATCTCAAAAATGAACATAGCCACTTGCAATCACTGCTATTTTTCATGTGGTTTTAAACAGACAAGGATGGCATTAACACCACCAAGGAGATTTTTCCAGGCCATGGAAAGTTTCCATCCCTGCCATTTAGCGATGGCCATACAAATATTTTCTCTGAAACCATCATTTTGTTCTTCTACAAATGTGACAAAGTGAGCAGCCACCTCCTCTACTGTATCCCCAAACCACACAGAGCCACACAAAGGCAAACCTCAAAGCAGGGCTGACCAAAACGTGCACCAAAATTCAGATTAAAAATTGGCCACCTCAGAAGCCAGTATTTTCATTTCTGGGAATTCCGGGTCATGCCAGCTAGAGAAGGAGTTGGGCTACGTGTGTTGTTTTGGGGAGAATTCAGACCTCCCATTAACCAGTTCAGTGACTCCCAGATGGGCTCTGGCCCCAAAAACTGAGCTGGGAAGAATTGTGAGAGCTGTGAGCCCAGACACTGAGCCTCTCCTAATGGCTCAGGTTCAGCTTTTCTGTGTTTCAGACTCTGTGCTGCTTCCTCCCAGCCAGACAAAGAGCTCTGCAGTGTCCCCCTGTGTGCTCAGCCAGGATTTACACAGAATGTCCTGGGACAAGGACTACTCGATCCACATATTCCACATCTGTGATGCTCCCAGGGCTGGAGCCAGGCTGGGAGAGCTGGGAATGTTCCCCTGGAGAAGGGAAGGCTCCAGGCAGAGCTCAGAGCCCCTGGCAGGGCCTGAAGGGGCTCCAGGAGAGCCGGAGCTGAAAAAGCCGATTAATTTTTTTTTTCCTGATTCCTTCCTTGAGATCCCCTGGCTCTCTGCAAAATCCCAGCTCTACAGCACAGAGTCCAGAAAACCACAAAACACTGCCATTTGCATGAGGCAGATTTTCACAGCTCTCTTGGCAAAATACAGCTTTTAAATATCCAAAACACAGGATGGCCACTTCTCACATCCAGTCCCTTGCTGCAAGAGCCACAATCTGCCACCAACTTCCACAGAGCAGCTTCTGAATTCCCTTAATTTCGTTGTTGAATTAAGACAGGGAAGAGGGTGACACCAGCAGGTTTTTGGGAAGCCCTTTGGGAATATTTAGGGTGCAAGGAGAGAACCAAGAGGACGAACAAGTTGCTCTTACACTCTTCTGTGCCAGCTCGTCTGCCAGCTGCTCGTTGGTCCTGGTTTTGTCCTCCACCTCCTGGGATTTCTGGTCGTAATTGACAGCCAGCTCCTCCAGGGCTTGGAGCACCTCCTTCACTTCATCCTTGGCCGCCTCGTTCTCGATCTGGAGTCGGGTCAGCTCCTCCTGGATCTTCTCATAATCCCTCCTCGTGGAGGCCAAAAGCTGGGGAGGAATATCACAGCAGCGTTAAGTGACCCAAAAACTCCTTCAAAAGGCAATGTTGAAAGGGAGAAAAACAGGCAAAGAGGGGAAAAAAGAGCGAGCACAAATTGTGCGTGCAGGAGGGGAGAAATCCTGGAAACAGCAGCAGTTCCAGCATAAAAGCATTTGAAGGAAGCACAAAAAAAAGCTCAGAACTTCAATGAGAAAAATCTTCATCAAATCCTATTATGACCCAAGACTGAGGCAGAGAAACTGACTTTAAGCAGCATCAGAGCTCCAAAGACATTTTCTGCCCTCAATCCAGTGCTGCAGCTCAGACCAAAAAAAAATCCCACAAAGTCAAATGTTCCACCAGAGGCTCAGGGCTCTGAGCTGAGCTGGGGGAAAAGAGCTCTCTGAGGCAGCCTCAAAGACCTCGTGGCTTCTCAGAAATAGTTTGATAAGCAAACCTAAGATGATTATTCTCAGTTATCATCTGAAGGATGATGCTGAGGACAGATTAGCTGCTCCTATTTGCTGAGGGAAAATATTAATCTCAGAAGAAAACACTGACTTCACACACACACACACTTTAGTGAGTGCTTCCAAGCTGGAAAACTTCTTAAATGTACTGTTTGCTTGATGCTGAGGTTTCAGTGATTGTGGGAGGTCACTGTCCCTTGTCCTTGAAGCAATGCTCAGTGAGATGTTAAAGCTTTGAAAATTCAGCTGTGGAGTCCTCAGCACAAGCCCAGCCCCCCCAGCAGCCCTGCACTGCAGGATGATGTGGAAATAAATAAAAGTGACACCTAACATTTATTGCTAATACTGCACTTTCAAGAATAATAACAAAACCAGGCCTTGACATGGCATAAAAACATCAGATAGGGAATTACATGAGATAAAACCAGTGCAGGAGATGTGGGAGGGCCTCATGCTCATCCTCACAGCAAAGTTTGGGCATTCATTCACAGAATTCACTTCCTCCCAAGAAATATGGATTATGGGTTGGTATAATATTGTAGACAGTGGAATAAAACCTTCCCTGCTGAAGTGTTCTGGGTGGATTTCTCCTGATCTGCCCACATAGCAGCTGAGTGAGACCCCCAGCAAAAAAAAAAAAACAAACAAAAACCACTTTTCTCAAGCAGACCACCCAATTAGCAGAATGTCCCAAAAGAAATGGCTTTTTTTTTTTGGCTCAGAGTGCTTGTGGAAAACAGAAAAGCAGGCAGGCAGCTCTGGAGGCTGGCACGTGCCCAGAGAGGACTCAGATGTAAAGGAAATTTATTTATCTCCCTGGTAATGCTGCAGCCTCAGAAGTGCACTCACGTTATGGAAAAAGCCATTGGATTGCTAGAGCCAGATGGCATGTAAATATTTAACCAACAAAATAGCTTCAAATCATCTTCCTGCTAAACACAGATGGAGCTATTATTTACATTTACTTCAGAAATTTTCTGCGTGAATGTCGCCGTGCCTTCAAGGAGTGCTGAGCATCACCTGCAGCATAAACAAGGAGATTCTGGCTGATATTGTGTGGAAAAATGGAGCAAGGTTTTCACAAACCACCAGGAAAACATAGTAAAGATGAGCTGTGAGCAAAGGGAAAAGGCCCACGGCTGCAGCCCTCCATGGATCTGTTCCAGCTGGGGATGGAATGTCCAGAATCCCCCAAAACACCCACCTGAAGCAGCAGCCAGAGGTGAAAAGGCACAAAAAAACCCCAAAATCAGTCTCACCTGCAGCAGGCCTCAGGTTTGTAATTAACCTGCTGGCTTCATCAAGCAGAAATAAGGGCTGGTTAATTAGGGGGAGCAGAGTGAGGTGGATCAGTGAGCTCATCACATCTCCAGGGGAGAGCAGGGACAGCTGATGTGGGGAAAAACACCTTGAATAATAAAATATCTCCTCCCCAAGTAAGGGCTGCACAAGAGCTGGGACCAGGCAGAAAAAAAGGCTCTGGACAGCACCAGCTGCAGAGATTTTGGAATTTAGCAAAGCTGGACTAGGAATGTCCAAAAAAAGAAGGGGGAAAATGGGCACTGAAAACCTGATTGATCTTCCAGAGGTGGAACAGGGAGGGTGAGGAATAATTCTGCTCCCAAACAAAAGGGATGCACATCACCCCAAAACCAAGGCACAGCTGTGGGGGAAAATCAGCCTCAGGTGAGAAAAGGGATGTGAAAAAGAGGGGAGAAGTGAGGTGGCACCAATAACCTCATAATGCACATCAGGAAATAAATGATTATAATAATATATTATAATGCAATAATATATTATCGGATAACGATAATACATTATAATTATATTGTATATTATAATACAGTAATGTATTATTATATAATAAAATAATATTATTTATAATATTATAATACAGTAATGTATTATATAATAAAATATCAAATATTACTGTTATTATATAATGACAAATATTACACATTAATAGAATATGTATATATTATAATATATTATTACAAATATGTAATAATAATGCACTTAAAGTGCATTATTATTGTGAACTTTAAGTGCAGTATTATTATTATTATTATTATGTAACCACAGACAGCATTGTGCAGTGCAGGACAAACAAAATCAAATCAAGCTGTGACAAGAGAATGAGGAGCTTCATCTTAAATTTAAATGAAATAAAATAAAATAATACAGCTGGAGATTCCCCCATCCAGGACAATTCCCCAGAGGGGGCAGGTGAACCCTGAGTGATGAATACCAGATATTTTCATAAATAGTTTTTTTTTTTTTCTCTAATAACACCTTGGAAACCCTTGCTGAGGGCCTGGATACACGATAAAAGCAATTCCTGAGAAATATCACAGCAACATTTGGGGAATTTGGTGTTACTGCCTCCTTTTGCATCCTCAGAACTCCTCACAGAAGGGAATGACTGAGTTCAGTGCTCACGTTCTCCATCCTAAACCCAACAAAAACTCATTTTAGGGACAGAAACGATGCAATCAAATGCTTGAAGTGAGCAATCCAAGATTTTACAGCAAATCTGGGGCAGCACCAATTATCAGGTCTTTCCATCTCACAGATTGCTGTCTCTAATTGCCAAAATAATGATAATTAGCAATTTAATATCAGGAAATCTCTAACTGCCTGTAGTCCATCGTGCCTGGAAACCTGAATGGGCACAGCCACATCAAAAATCACATTTGGAGTGAAAAATCCTGGCCCCACTCCCACCTTGGACCTCCAGCATCACTTCCCAGCAGGAGGGACTGTTATTTCAAGGACTTTTATCAAGGCTTAATGAGAATATTATGAAATTTCAAGTTTAAGCCTGGCTGACACCTTTTCTACTTGAATTTTAGCCAGTTAATATGAACAGCTGGGACAGAATCATTAAACAAGGGGCTCAGGAGCAAAATGTAAAGGGATTTTTTTAGGTTGGTTTGTTTATTTTAGTTTCTTACCTCCTCTTGATCCAACATTTGCTGCTTTAATTTTTCAGCCAGCTGGCTCTGCTGGTTGATTTCGTCATCCTGCAATGAAACAGGGGTGGAGATCTTTAATTTCTTTTCACAGCTCTCATTTGATCACTTTTTATTTCCTCTTTCTAGGAAAGAAAGGGGAATAAAACTTTGTGTATGTTTGAGTGGTATGAGGGGAGAGAAAAATAAATGGACATAAATAAATACACATAAATATACCATTAAAATATATGTATATGCACAGAGCTCTGCTGTAAAAGATGTCAACACTGGTATAAATTATGATATTTTGGGTTTGGGATCCTTGTGTTTGGGATCAAATATCTTCTAATTTCCTACAGTCCTGTGTCAAATTATGCTTCCCAAGTTTTCTAGGGAAAAACTCAAACCTGCTGCTAGCTCCTTCCAGAATAATTTACTGGGCTTTGCTGCTTTTGATGAGGAAAGTGAAACAATGACTGAATTTTTTTTCCTTTTCATGATCAATGTGGGAAAGCTGGAGATTGCAATCACAGAAAAGCTGTCATTTCACACAGAAAACTGCTCTTTTCAATACCACCAGACTGTGCAGGGAGACCAAAATTCAGGTTTAAACACAATTCTTCTGTGTCCACAAACAGCCAAACCTCAATATTAACAGGCAAGGACACACTGGACTTTCTTCTGCTTTTTTTTTCCTGCTAATTACAATTGAATTTTAAAATTGAGTATTGATTCATGATGAGAGCTGCCTTTTTTTTTTTGCTGCTCTCATCCAGGTGGTGAATGGGCTTTTTCTGGCCTTTTTTCCCCCCACTTTTCATCTTCCCACAAGCCAAAGCTCTTAATGGCTGGAGAAGGGAATTGCTGAGAGCTTTAAGTGCCACTGATGTCCCTCAAGCTGTGCAAAGAAATAAACAAATAAATGAACCCTCTGGGCTGTGTTTGCAGCTCCAACCACACAAACAAAAGGGGATGGATTTTCCTTTAAAATCTGTGATTTTTTTTTTTGCCCTGGTGACTCCAAGATGACATTACAGTTTGCTGAGGGATTTTTACACAAATCACTGAAGAAAAGGGAAAGCCTGGACTTAAAACTATCAGAAAACTTTGCTCTGATTTCCTGGAGAATGCTCCCAAACACTGTCTGCACAGGGAAAGGGGTGGAGAGCTGACAGGATTCTGCTTTTATGCAGTATTTGGAATTTTCCAACGTTTTCCAGTTCCCAATAGAAACAGAAGCAAAAATACAGGAACAGAGCAAAAAAAGAAATAGAGCAAAAATACACAAATAGAAGAAATGGAGCAAAAATACACAAACAGAAGAAATGGAGCAAAAATACAAAGAAATCTTGGTGATAATTGTCTATTCCCACCTGGAATCCAACCTTCCCACCTGGAATCCAACCTTCCCACCTGAGAGACCCCGGGAGCGCTCGTGCATTTTGGGACCATTTGGGTTCATCTTGGGTGCAGCCCTGGCTGGGCTCTTGTGCTGCCCAAGGTGCATCCATGGAGGAGATCCTTGAATCAATCCCTGCTTTATTCTGGAACTCTGTCCAGCCTCTGCTCCAGGGCAGCCTCTCAAGGTACCACAAGGACCTGTGAGGTCTTTTCTAACCTTGATGATCCCATAAAATCCAGCAGCAGGTAGAACACTGAAAGCACAGAACTCCTGACTCTCCTTTCATTCCCTTGATAGTCAGGATTAGCTCCATGGATTAACAGAGGTGTAAAAAAGTTGGGAAAGCCCCCAAATTCCAGCCTAAAATCAGCTGACATTTAAATATCTCTTCCTTCAGGGATTTCCAGCTCCAGGATGGACCAGCACAGCCGTTTTTAGAACAATATTCAACTTTTACCTTGCAAATTCCAGCAGAAACACCAGCTTCCAGAGGTTGCCTGTGCATAACAGACATATTCCCTACAAAATCCCTGTCCCCAAGGAATATTTCCTTCAGGAACAGCCCTGGGCTACAATTACAGACTCAGAGATGAGGGATGGGTGAGCTGCTCATGGCAGAAATTAAATCCACCCTCATCAGAGGCTGGGGAAGCCCCTGGATGCTGCACACATTGCTCAGGAGGTGGGAAGGGTAAAGGTTTTCTCCTTTTCCAGGAAAAAACTCCAATATTTTAGCTCCTGAAAGCTTTACCAGCCATTCCTCTTGCCAATTTATCTCACTGGCAGGGGAATAGGTCAATAGATCAAAGCCCAGAAAGGCTGATTGAGGCCCCAGAGCAAAATAAAAAGGGCAAGAAACAGCATAGCCAACTAAGCAGATGATTTTTTTTCCCCCCACCTTAAACCATGGAAAAAGTGGAATTTGAAATCAAGCAGCATCAATTCTATCAAGGTACTTGACTCCAAAGATTTTCTGCCCTATTTCTGAAGGCTTGATGGTATTTTCTATTATTAATGAGGGAAATGGGAATTGATTTTTTGCTGTTGGAGCAGGGAAGGAAAGGTGGGTTTGGTTAGAATGCTCCTCAGGCTGTGGAGGATCCACCAGGATCAACATTTTGGGATTAAACATTCCCAAAAGTGATGTTTAATCTCTCATTCATTGGACGAGAACCTCCTGCCAGTAAAACACAGAAAAATTGGGCACCTGGAAGCTGAAATGCTCAGCTCACCCATTCCCTGCCACCCTTTTCTTTTGCAGAATAAATCCCTAATTCCTGGAGTCAGCTGTGCTGGTGGAATGTTATCCAAGATGGGATTGCAGGGACAGTTCCCTCTGTAAAAAGCCTCCATCCTTCCTGAGGATGGGAGTGCACAAGGTCAGACAAGAAATCAATAATCTTTTAATGCATTGCTGGGTAACAGCAGCACCCAGGGAGGGGAGGAGGGTATTTAAACAAAAGGATCCATCCAGGCTTTTGTAAAAAAAAATAAAATAGGCTTTGGATTGTTTTTTTTGTTTTTTTTTTTTTTGTTGCTGGTTGATTTTTAAAATGTGGAATAAACAATTCAAACTAAGGTTGTTTGCTAAAATTGTCTGCCAGCGTTCCAGACTAAATTACATTTTTAAAATTTGGTTTTCAATAAAAATTCTTTCATTTGTATGTATCCATATTCTGCCTCCTGTACCATCCTATAGCTGATGTTACATCCTACCCTGAACAGCAATTCCCCACTTTTCTAATCAGCAAATTGACTGATCTCAACAAAAAACTTCATTTAGAAGCCACAGGAGCAGACAAGTGGTGATTCTTCTAAGCAGATGCCACTCCCTGTCATTGTACTAAAGGACTAATTCATTATTCTAATGTGAAATTCAATTATAAAAAAATCCCCAAACCCAAGGTCCAATTACCTTAAAGCACAATGATTCTCATGCCTGAGGAGCAGAGTTATTAAAAAAAACCCCAAATATAATGACATTTTTCCCTTTTCTTATTACCATCATTAACACTATTAACTTTAGTGATTCCTCCTTTGTGCTCTACCCTGAAATCACCAATTTTGGCATTTTCACTGGTTTCTCCCACAAATGGCTGCTGCTTTGCCTGGTTTTTGCTTCTTCACTTTTCATTATTATTATGAAATGTGAGTTGTAATGTGAATTTACATTTAGCGGCCAGACACAATTAATAAAAATTGTGATTTAGGGCAAGAATTCAACACAGACACATCCTGCTCCCAATTTTTGGCACCTACCATTCCTCCACCTGTTCAGCTCCAGCTCCAGGTGCTGTATAACATTCTTTAAACTCTTGTTTTTGTCCTTCTCCTTCTCATACTTCTTCTTCCACTCCTCTGCTGTCAGCTCCAGGTTCACAGACACCGTGTTCTTGATGGTCTTGGCCCTGCAAACAAATCCCAGGGCAGCTGCTTTGGGGTTTTTATCCCAGTGAACTGTGGGGATTGGGAATTTTTCCATCATACAGAGGGGAATGAGTGGGGAAATTGTGGATTCCCCATCCCTGGAAGTGTCCAGGGTGGGGAGGGAAAGGGGAAAAGGAAAGAGAGGAGAGGGAGGAAAGGGAAAGGGAAAGGGAAAGGGAAAGGGAAAGGAGTTCCTGCCTCCCTAGGCAAAAATATCCCAAATTTCAACCCTCTAAACAACCACCACAACTTTATTATTCTCAAAGTGCTCAGCTCCAGCCCAACCCAACCCATTGTGCCAGGAAATGCAAAGCAAGCAGAAAACAATGCCCAGCACCTACTCCAGCAAATCCACACTGAAAAGGGAAACCAAACCAATCAGAATGAATTAAGAAAGCCTCAGATCTTTGCCCTTCACTGCTCAGACACTGAGTCCCTTCAAATGCCTCCAGTGTTGTTGAATAAAGCAGAGGATAAGGAAAAGGATAACAGATAAACCTTCAGCAGTTTGTAAAGCTCCAGTCATTTGCACTCTGTGGCAAGCAGGACTTTTGTTACCTTAAAAGTGTTTTTTAAATAACCCCATGCTTTTAAAATAATTTCCTAATGGTCAGGGTTTACACTTTGTCTCTGCTAAAAGCACAGCTCAAGTTTCCACTCTTTTAACTGTACCAGGGCAAAAAAACCCAACCACACCAGGAAGTTTCTCCTGATGATGGATGAAGCCCTCACTGACAACTATAGTTAAAAATGAGATAAAAACACGAGACAAGATGGAGTAGAAAAAGAAAAAGCTGATTCACTACTATCACAGGAGCACTTGTACAGTTTGATTGGTACAAGAGCTCCTCTGAAGGTGGATTTCATTCCTGACATTTATTTTAATGGTGACATAAGTCTTTCTTTTCCCAGGAAAAATCAGCAATCAGCCATGAGTCATGGACCTTCCCTTTAATGCCACTGAGCTCCTCAGTTGTGCCACATCAGAAAAATGAGACACAACAACCCAAGAGCCTGGAAAAGAACCCCTATTCCCACCCAAAATCCTGCCAGACAATGTTGTGCATGGATAATCCATGGGCTGCTCTGCACAGAGCACCAGTCCTCCCAGGGAAATACAAATTATTTCCTTCCTGACAATTCAGAATTCCAAGAAATTCAATGCTGTCCATGAGGAGCCCCTCAGAAATATTTCCCTGTTTTCCCAGTTCTTGCACTACCATCCTGGTCCTCGGTGAGGATCACCCCCAAAATGTTCCTCCTCCCAGGAAACTGTTGAATATTTAGCCAGGATGTGCAGAGTCAGTCAGAAAACTGCCTTGCCCCAAAAAAGGGCAAATTTTGCTCATTGCTGGAAAGAGGAATGAAACCAGGGGGAATGTAAACTGAAACGGAACTTGGAAGCTGGAGTTCAGAGCTGTTCATGCTCTTGATTTCATTCCTGCATCTCAGGATGCTTGGTTTTGCTCAACACATGATCTGATCAGTACAAGTTTGGATCTTCAATAGCTAAAAATCATGTTCAGCTCAAAATGGGGGAAAAAAACCTACAAAGTCACTCTATAACCTGATTTTGCTCATGGCCACTGCCTCTCTTTGCAGTCCAGAAGCTCCACGTGGTGGAAAAAAGCCCAATTTTAAACAAAAACAAAGCTATTGTATCCTCAAACTGTTCAGCTCTCTTTAAACATGCCTAACTTGCCAGTATTTTTCCTTTCTGCTACTACACAAATCAAACAAAACGAGTAATTTTCCAAAGGATCCCAGTTCTCCTCAATTACCACAAAAGCAGTAATTGCATAATGAACCTGACCTATTTCTGCAAACCCTCCCAATGCATTTCACATCCCTCTTGTCAATAAACACACATGGAGGAGAAATTTTCCTTCTGGATCCTTCCATACTTTTTATTCCTCAGTTGTCCAGATCCTCCAAACATCAGGTCCACGAGTTACCATGGCAAGCCCTCAAAGCTGTCAATATTACAGAGCCCACACTCTTTAATTTTCCTAATTTCTAGAGATATTTTTTAAAGCCACAACAATGATCCCTGAGGTGGAACTGAAGAAGACACCTCTTAGAAGCATCAACAGCACTGTTAGATAAAGCAAAACTGAATTTTCCCACAGAAAACAGCCCAGTGCCTTTATCTTCCTTAGCAGGTGACATGTGGTGGAAAAAACCCAATTTGCACAACAAGACAAATGTATTGTGGTCTACAACTGCTAAATTTGATTTTGCACAGTCCTAACTTGCTGGTATTTTTCCTTTCTGACACACAAATAAAACAAGATTTGTATTTTCTGAAGTCTCCAATAAAGCAAGGCTGAATTTTTCCACAGAAAACCGCTCAGTGCCTTTATCTTTCCCATAAAATTTCAAGGAATTAAGATAACACTTTTTACTCCCTGCAGGAAAATCAGCCAGGAAGGAATTAAAGAATTCCTTCTAGACATCCTTCCATGGATTGCCCAACCTTTCCCCACTTTTCAACCCCACTCTGCTCCCAAGCAGAGCAGCTGCTGGCCAGCATCACCTCGATTTTCCTGGAGGATTTTCCTGGAATCACTGGGAATAAAGAGCCGGCTCTCTGAAGTTCTCCAGATTATTTTACCAACTCCAGAAACCCCAAGCTCTGGATTCCAAGGGAGGAGGAATGCCCGTGGGACTCACCTCTGGCCAAACATCAGGGTGGATTTGGTCTCAGCCTCGTTGAAGACGGAGGGGGAGCAGCAGATGACGATGGTGGTCCTGCAGTTCCCCCCCAGGGAATCCTGCAGGATCCTGGTCATTTTGCTGTCTCGGTAGGGAACGTGGGTTTTCTAATCCAAACACAAGCAAAAGACAAGAGCAATTCTTTAAACTGCTGGAGTTTAAGAGAGGAGGTGAGGCCACGCTGGCAGGAGTCACCGTTTGTTGTGACTGTGCCCAGATTTGGGAGCTGCTCCAGTGCCATCACTGAGGATTAATTCCTCATCTCCAACAGCCAAATTGCCACTGGTTTGTGACAACATTTTGTTTGTTAATATTTTATTAACAGCCAATATTTTCTCCCTTCAGAGCTGAAATGTTAGCTCCTTTTACCCCTTTCCTTTTATTCCCTGAGGATGGCAAAGAAGCAGGTAAATAAAAACCCCTCCTCACCCCCAGCCAGGATTACTTACAGTTCCCTCTGCCAAGGCCGAGATCACATTGCCCAGAGCAGACAGAGACTTATTGATATTTTTAGCTTCATCCAGAACTGCCCCCTCTGCTCCAGTTTTGCTGACCTGCAAAGAGAGCAGGAAAGAGTCAGGTTCTGCTCCAGCACAAAGCTCCAGCCCTGCAAAGCTGCGCCTAAGGATGCTCCTGGAGGAGCAAAACCCGGCTTAGCTCAGCGTGGGCCAGGAGAATTTTATATTTTATATATTTCATATTTTTATATCAACTTCTATAAATTTTTTGGTTGTGCAAACCTGGAATAATTCCACTCTTCTCCCACTCCAAGAGCAAGTTGTATTTTAATTCAGGGACAATTTTATTCAGGGAGAAGTCTGTGCTCACCTGAGGACGTTTGGGAACCCCTCCCAAAGCCAAGCTGTCCATACAGACAGGGAGCACCACCCCAGTGCCCCCAAAATGAGCATCTTGCCTTTGTATTTTGCTTGCATAGACCAAAAATATCAAAAATCATAAATTTTGTTAATGGCCACTGTCTCCTTTAACAGGCCAAAAATGAGATGTGGTGGAAAACAACCCAATTTTCACAGCAAGCAAATGCATTGTGTTCTACAACTGCTAAATTTTATTTTACACAGTCCTAACTTGCTGGTATTTTTTTCTTTCTGTTACTACAAAAATAAAATAAAATTTGGATTTTCTCATGTGTCCAAATACAGGATAAATCCATTCTTTTTTCCTCTACATTAACACTATCTGTACTTTCATCTAAAAATGCTCCATGACATGAAGGAAAAGCAGTCCTGTCTTTTAAGAAGACAATCTACCCCAGAAATCCATATTTCAGGTTTTCTGTACCAAAACCAACCACAAAAGTTGTTTTCCCAGAGGAGAGGAGTGCTTACCCAGGCCCTCATTTTGTAAACACCATAAAGAGCTTTTAATTTAACAAATCTGTGCAATCATAGACATCAACATGATTAATTTCTCTGACAAATCACTTTTGCATTGTACCCATGGGCTATCAATTAAACTGTCCCAATGAGCAACCCAAAATCCCAATAAAGCTGATTTCAAACACTCCAGAAGACACCAGAATGAGAACTGGGAAACATTTTTGCTTTGCAGCACTGTTCCAAACCATTACTCTTTTGGTAAATAGATAACAGTAATTTTCTGGGGTTTATTTTTCTGCATTGGAAAGCAGTAATAGTCACCAAAATCAAGATTCAGGGAACTTTGAGTAGAATTGAAAACTGCATTAACTGCTGGATTTCATTCATTTAATATGTGGAATAATTACAAAAAACCTAGAAACAGGACATGACAATGTAAGCAAGTTAAAATATGTGTCATTTGATAAATTATTTTTAAAATTATATTAAATTATATTAAACATTATTTATATATTAATATATACATAAATTTTATATTCTTATATATAAATTATATTTAAATTACATTTCTTTTTTCAGCTACACAGATATAAATGTGAATAAAAACAAAAATGGTTTAACTCACTCTATTATAAATTCAGATTTTGGGAGAGTTGTCTTTCATGCCAATAATTCTGATCTACTCCTTTTCTCCATCCCACATTCAAAAATAAAAATTAAAATGGCCTTTTTAAGGATAATCTAAGGAGAGAGCTCTGTGAGACACCCTCCCATCCTCACTGTGGGGTCCCAGTGGAGGAAAAAGGAGAATTTACCTTCTCACTGCCAGCCAAGTCCACCAGGTAGAGCTTCCCACTGAGCTTCTTCTCCGTCTCCACGTTCTCCTGTTTGATGTTGATGAGGAAGATGCTGTGGCTCCTCGAGCTGTGCTCGTTCATGTCTGGAATCACAGGGCACAGCTTCTGTTAAAAATGCCTTTCCAACCTGGCAGGGGATTCCATCCCATCCGAGCTGGCCCCACCGAATTCCCAAAGCCCAGAGAAGCTGGGCAGGTCTCGGTGTAGCTCACAGGATTCACAGAATTCAGAGTATTCACAGGATTCACAGAATGCCCAGCTTGGAAGAGACCTTCAGGATCATGGAGTCCAACCCAGCCCCAGCACCTCAACTGAACCCTGGCACCCAGTGCCACATCCAGGCTTTGTTAAACACACCAGGGATGGGGACTGCACCACCTCCCCGGGCAGAACATTCCAGAACTTTGTCACCATTTCCATGAAAACTTTTTCCTGATATCCAGCCTGTATTTCCCTTGGCACAGCTCGAGGCTGTGTCCTAGGGTTCTGTCAGTCCCTGGAGACAGAGCCCAGCCCAGCTGAGCACAGGCACCTTTCAGGAGCTGTGCAGGGTGATGAGGGCACCCCTGAGTCTCCTTTTCTCCAGGGGAGCACCCCCAGCTCCCCGGGTTTGTGTTCCCAGCCCCTCTCCAGCCTCGCTGTCCCCTCTGGATGCTCTCAGTGTCCCAAGGTCCTTCCCAAGCTGAGGGGCCAGAGCTGGGCCCAGCACTCCAGGTGTGCCCTCACCATTTCAGGGACCAGGGCAGAGTGACCTCCCTGCTCCTGCTGCCACACCATTCCTGGTCCAGCCCAGGAGCCACTGGGATTCTTGGCCACCAGGGCACTCTGCTGGCTCATATCCATGTCAACCAACACCCCCAGAAATGTCCCTTTCTGCCTGGCACTGTCCAGCCACACCATCCCCAGCCTGTGGCACTGCAGGGGTTACTGTGGCCAAAATGCACAACTGGGCACTTGGACTTCCTAAACTCCATCCCACCGGGCTCTGCCCATCCCTCCAACCATCCCAGGTCTCCCTGCAGAGCCCTCCTGCCCTCCAGCAGACGCACACACGCTCCCAGCTCGGTGTCATCTGCAGATCTACCAATTAAAACCTCCATCCCTCATCCATGTCATCCATAAAACACGGAACAGAGCTGGCCCCTGAGGGACACCCCTGCTGCCCGGCCCCGGCTGGATGCAGCACCGCTCACTGCCACCCTGATTTTTTAAGTTCTTCTAACCCTTCTGATGTTTACATTCTTGTAAATGTAAACAAACTTTCTCTCATGCTTTCCTGTAAATACTTAGTGGTTTGCATTCTCTTATGGAGAATTTATTTACTTTAATAATATACTATATATATATGTGTATATGTTTTATATATAAATATACGAAAATTTATCATATATGTAACATAAAATATATTTAAAATTAAAAAAATATTCAAAAATAAAATATATTTTAAAATAAACATCTGATTCTAAACACAAAACACCATTGCAAGCACTTTCAACCCCAACCTTGACCAAAATAAGCCAAGAACCAACATTTAGTGGTGAGCTCACAGCCTCCAAGGGGGGATCCATAAATCCCCAGGCAGCAGCAGCAGCCCCTTGGAGGGACCTCCGGGATTTGGGGACACTCACTTGTCACAGCCACGTGCCTGTTGGCCTTGCCCTCGTCGATGACATCCAGAACTTCCTCAGGGCTGGACACAAACCTTTCTGTGCAGCCCTGGGGACGGGAGGTGGCAGTCAGGAATGTTCCTTTAGCACTAATGAGCCCACAGTAATTAGGAGAAGCATCAGCAGCCCCCAGGACCCCACAGACCCGACCCCGCCTCAAGGTGACTTCCAGGGAAACTTGGGAACCAATTTTTGCCCACAGGGTTAAAGACTCAGTGAAATCCAGACCCACAGCATGAAATCTTCCACAGAAAACACGGAATAACATGTTTTCTGTGGAAAATTTTCAATAACAACATATATTCCTAATTTGGGTTAGATTTCATACCCAAGTTAATTTAATTTAATCAACCCCAATTTAATTTTTCCCCCCTCAAACTACAATACAAAGTGCAAAGTCCTTCTCTCTCAAGGCAATACTACTGAATAAATTATTTCATCCGTTTAATTTTGCTTCTCAAGCTGAGAATAAACAGGAAAATGTTAGATAGACATCATTTAGGCTCACATATGTTCGTGCCAAGCATATTGCATTCAAGTGAGGGCCCAGAAAGTCGTAAAACAAATCCCTACCCCAACCAATCTGCTCTGAACTATTGCGAGATTACAGCACCCATGCAGCAAAATATTAAAGAACAAAATTCCTCAAGTTGTTCTCTTTCATATCTGACATGAAAGGAGAATCTGAATACTTAAAATTTAACAGCATCCTAACAAAATGGCAATGTTCAAAGTCAGGAGAATAAAACAAACATGATTCAAGCCCATTAATATTTCAGGAAACTTGTTTAAACCCAGGAACCAACACAACCTGAACATTCAAGGCTTCAAACAGGAGTTGAATTATTTCAGCAAATAACACTGGATGCAAATGGAAATGTGTAAATAAATGCATTTGTGGGAAAGAATGAAAAGCTGAGGGTTAAATTATTCTTTTACCTTGACATAGGGGACTCTGTTTTTATCTTCATGTACAGCAAGGTTTGTCTTTGACACTGGAGAGAGACGTGGAGATCACCAGGAATATTCCAGAGGTCATAAATAAATAAATAAATAAATAAAGTGTCAGCTCCAGGCACGACAGACACATTTTGGGGATGGAAATTTGTATTTGAGATCTGCAGTCATTCCCCACTCCTGCTGAACCTCCAATATTTCCAACACACAGGAACCGTGTCCTGCTCTGTCAATCTTGTACCTGCTCATTTAAATTTAACTTTGGGGCACAAATCTTTTCTTTATTGCTTGGGCGAATTAAATAAACCCAGACCAAGCTGGGCTTTGGCAAAGCAGAGGAGACAGGAGAGCAGCCTGGAATTCAGAGCAGCTCAGAGCTACACTTGCAGACATTTCTACATTTACAAACATTTCTACATTTGCAGACATTTCTACCTTTGAAGACATTTCTACCTTTGCAGAAATGTCTACCTTTGCAGCCATTTCTATATTTGCAGCCATTTCTACCTTTACAGCCATTTCTACCTTTACAAACATTTCTATATTTACACATATTTCCACCTTTACAAACATTTCTATATTTGCAGACATTTCTACCTTTACAGCCATTTCTACCTTTACAAACATTTCTATATTTACACATATTTCCACCTTTACAAACATTTCTATATTTGCAGACATTTCTACCTTTACAGACATTCCTATATTTACACATATTTCCACATCTACAGCTCTTTCTGTGCTCACACTGACCAACAAAACCCACTTTATTAACACACAAGCTGCAGAGGCAGAGACATGAGCTGTGAGAGAAGCAGATGCTCCCCACCAGACTGCCTGCCAGAAGCGAGGGATAATTCCAAACCACTCCCTGCGTTTTGAAATCAGGTTTTTTATCATTTTTCCTTGAAGAACACCCCTTGCCCAGGAGCCCCAGCCCTTCCTCACAGGCTCTGAGACCCTCAGAACTCTCTGCTTCACCACAAAGCTCTGCAGAGGCAGGTGCACAGGATCAGATGGCTGAAACTGCCAAATTCTCCAGTTTAAATTTAATCCCCTCCCAAATAAAGTCAGTGCTCCCCCTCAGGCTTTGGTGCAAAGCTCTGGATGAAGCCAAGGCACTCAGCAAAATAAACACAGAACTTACCATCAAGCAGGTCCCTTATTTTGTCCAAATATATCTCAAAGTAGGAAACCTAATTAAATAATCACAAACATCACAGGTTTAAACGTTGCTGATTTAATGTCTCTGTGTTTCCATCCCTGTCAAAGCACCAAACTAAAAATAAAACCCCACCTCCCACACAGTTTGAATTCCATCTTTCATGGGAACACATTTGTACCTTGAATGGTTTACAAACCATTGATCTTCCTCCATTTATCAATGGAAAAGTACACAAAAAAACCTGCAGGCTAACCTTATCTTCTTCTTTTTTTTTTTTCCTTTTTTTTTTTGTAACACAGGGAAAATTGACCAAAAAAAATTGAATCAAACCAATGCAGCTCCTGCCATATCAGGTTTGAGGATTGTAAAAACTATATATTGATTTTCACCCACCCCCCCAAAAAAAACAGAGAGCACCTTCACCATTCCATTTCCATAAGCCTCAGCAGTACATATTAAATTAAACTTTCAAATGAAGCACATGTGGTGCTTCTGCCTTGAATCAAATCCAAAGGAGAGAATGAAAATGAGCTTTGCTGTAACAAAGAGAGACAATTGTCCTCAAAAAAAAAAAAGGAGAGAGAGGAGAATGATTGAATGAATGAGTTTCTTAATAAAAGGGGATTTGACCCACAGAAGGAAACAAAAATATGAGAGGGGAGTAGGGCCTAACCCTTCCCTAATGAAGTTTTATCCAGATTATTTAGCTGGAACACCACATGGCTGCAATCTAGCTATGAATAAACCCCTGGTATTTCATAAAGTCTCATTTTCTCTCATCTGAAAAAAAAAAAAAAAGTCTGGGTTTTTTACACAGATGGGTTGAGCTTTCCACGTGAAACTGCAATTAAACACAAATATATTTTGCATTTTTGCCTTTACTTCCCCGTTTAAAGCCCTCCTCTGGACCAGCTGATTCCAACAGCCCAGTTAGGCCAGACTTAACATTTCACATTGAAAACCCACGATCCTCCAGAGGAGAAACCAAATTCTACATGGATCCCTGTTAGAGAGGGAGAGGAAATAAATGCCATTAATTTCCAGAGCTTCAGTTCTGCAAAGATTATTAGTTCCATTATTAGGAGAGTGGGGCAGCCTGGTTAAGCCCAGGCTGCTGCTGACAGAACATTTCTCTCCCTGGCAGCTCCTGGCAGCTTTTTTGGGAAAGATTCATCAGCTCTGCTAGGAAACCTTTGGGAAAATTCTGGGATTTCCAAGGGGAAAGGCCAGGAATTCCCTCCAGCTTTCCAGAGGAGGGGAGGGATCAGAGTGGAAATTCAGAGGGGTCTCTCCATATTTTACAATCCAAGGTCTCTGCAAGTATTTCACGGTTTTGGAATATTTTCAGTTTCAATTTGGAATATTTTTTCTGTCTGTACCTCACTGCTGAGAAGGTTCCCAATGCACAACCAAGCCCTTCCACAAGCTGATACCTTGTCTGTCTATAAATTATTATTATTTTAAGCTGATACCTTGTCTGTCTATAAATTATTATTCTTTTAAGCTGATACCTTGTCTGTCTATAAATTATTATTCTTTTAAGCTGGTACCTTGTCTATAAATTATTATTATTTTAATCATCTTGTACCTTCAGAGGTACAAGATGATTAAAATAATAATAATTTATAGACTGACATTTCTGTCCTCACACTGATTAACTTTACAAATATTCCTGCGGGGTCACTTCAAGGGATTGAATGCAAATAGCACTAAAAAGTGTAACTTTTTGTCTCATCTCTAAGTTTTAGGTGCAGAAAACTCTCGGTGAGCAGCAGGAGAAGGGTCAGTGGCTTCACACCCTCCTGTGCTCCTCAGCTTTTAGGTCTGGCTTAGTTTTGGGGCAGGGATGACACAGAAAACTCCTTTTCCCTGAAGTCCATGGCAATTTTACTGATAATCCCATTTTCCTGGTGTCTGCTTGGACAGGAGCTGCAGCTCTGCAGCTGGGAGCTCCACAGGACCCCAAATGGGCACTGGGAATTCAAGGTCATTCCCAAGAATTTGGGAGCTCACATGGCTAGGATCAGGGAAAGGACATGGAAAAACACTGCACACAGTCAGAAAGAATCCAAAAATCCCTTCTGAACACCCTTCCATGGATTGCCCCAGCTCTCCCCACCTTGAATCCCACATCCTGGAGACAGGATGTCAGGATTTTCCCAAATGCCCGTGGTGTTTCTGGTCAGAACCAGCAAGGTTCAATCTCTGGAGGAGCTGCAAAAATCAATTTTTTTGTTCCAGCAAACCTGAGCTGGACAAACCCTCCAGAAAAAAAAAAAAATCCAGAAGCAACATCAGTAATAAATGTTGGAATTTGTGTTGTGAAAGGGATGGAGGGCAGGAAAAAAAAACCCACAGAAGATGCCAAGGCAGATTTCCCATGGATTTATCCCAACCAAGCCATCCCAAAAGGGGTGACTCCAAATAAATTGCACATAAAATTCCATGTAAATGTACCTTGATGTGGAACTCCAGGTTCTCATCCATGGAGTAGATGTGGTCGAAGATGTCGTGGGCGATCCTGGGGATGATTCCCATCAGCTGAGGGTCGTGGAGCTTCCCCTGGGACACAAACCCCAAAGGTGACTCGGGAATCCTCCTGCTGCCTCATTTTTATTGTTTTATTAAATATATAGCAGGGCCTTCTAGATTTTATAGATATAAAAATCGATATTTTAGACTATATTTCAAGAAATCCAGGTGTAAATCCTGAAGTGTGAGGGACACTCAGCCACAGCTGCCTCTGTTTAAATCAGCAGAAATTTCTGTGGATTTTTATTAAAAATAATTTATTATTATTATTACTATTACTATTATTATTTTATTACTATATATTATTATATATTATATATATAATAGGTATAATATATTATTTTTCTATATAAAATAATTTTTTAATTTTTATTTTATATATATAT